CGAGTAGACTTGTGTATGTGTATGATCGCTAGGCGACCGATTAGCCGGCTGTATCGAACAGCCATACGTACGCGCGGGAAATAAATGCCTTCCGGGAGGACTTTTATGGGGAACTGGCCTCCTATTCAGTCGTTATAGGCAAGGAGAAAACCCGGAAAACTCCAAGCAGTCAGCCTGTCCGACCGTGGCGCGAACCCACGACGAACCTCCCAGTCTGTAGGGTCTGGTCATCACTACGATGAGCGGCAACGGAGACCACTCGCCTACTGGTGGGTGCCACCATTTGTATGTTGTGATTGGATAATTTAAATTAGCAAGCAGTGACACTAGTGAGACTTTATTAAACTAATTTTTTCTCATTTTTTTTCGTTAAGGCGTGAAATATTAATTTGTACCGTAAATGGTACTTGAAATATTATAATGTACTGAAAATGTACTAAAAATCTAAATGTACTTTCAATTTACTGGGAAGGGCAAAATGTACCAGAAAAGTAGAAATGTACTAGGTACGGCAACACTGCCTCTGGACTGGAAATCTTCCCTCGACAGATCGCCCATGTGTCGCGTTGTCATACAGAAATAAACAATAAACAATTTCAGAGCCAGATAGCCAAGGTATGGTAAACATTAGCTTATCATTCCGGGATCCGGGGTGACAGGCTAACGTTTTCCGTAATCATCATGTCCTCATTTGTGTTCTGTACCTGTCTATTACAGTATGTTCTCAACATCCATCTACATTCTTCATTCCTCTAATCCATCGCTGACTTTACCATCTTTTATATTATTACATCTCGGATTATTGCAATCATTGTATGAAACTATGTATATTCTCTAATTACTTAATTGTTACATAAACTTTGTCTCGTACGATTTGGCAGAAGACATTATTGCTCTAATGAGGTGACTTCAGTTTAATAGGACAGTAGTTACTGTACTTTGCTTGGTTACGAAATTATATTTTTTACAAAAACTGTACTGTAATGAAAATACAATATTGGAAAATCAATTCGCGAATATGCAAGTGTTTCACGAACAGTCATGTGATTGTCACAACTTTTCGATCGCGAATAGGCAAAAATGCGAATACCAAATACTGAAACACCGCGAGTTATTTATATTAAATTCATGCTTTACAGCCAACTTCGTGGTAACAGCATGATTCCTAAATACAGTGGACTTTCATATAGTGATCATTCGGTATAATAAATTTTCGGTATAGCAATACAGTTTGTTCGTCCTTATTATTAATTTTGTGTATAATTCTTGATGTAATGATATCAAGTGTCTAATGAATAAAAATTTGAGAGAAAAAAATTCTTAATTTGGTATAAAAACCTCTATTCAATATATGAAGCATTGGTGCAGTAGGAAGAACTTATCAACAAAAGGAGGCTTGCTGGAGGCCCAGGCAGTGAAGACGCCCCGAAATTTTTACACAGATAGTCTGTCCGTTACTACCTAGCTGCTCTCACTAAATGCCTAATAAAAACTATGATGTCACGAAAAAAATTCCATTTTTCCAATAAACGGAGATAGATAAGAAAATAAACTAAAGAAAATTTATCATGCGTTTATTCTTCCATTTTTTGGACAGACATATAAAACATTTTGTACAGACATGTCTGACCTATATTTTACAGTAAAGTAAGTGATTTAATACACTATCTTGAAAACATAACATAAATCATAGTTAATTAAGAGAGAATTTTAAAGCGAATACATTAAAATTTTCCTTCTCGATCTGATTTTAGGTAACTTTAAAAAAAAGAATTAAATATAATTTTTCAATTTAAATTAATCCTCTTCATCATTGAAAGGTGAAGTACTGCAGCTAAACGATGTCATTGTTAGCTTGTGTTCCCATACCTTTTCCCAAACTCTGACAGTGCAATATCGTGTTTCCTGTTATATAAGAAGTTAAAATGTTAGTCAATAATATTTTACATCCTTTCAACTACTTTTCTACTTTAAAACAAGAAAATAATAACTTACGCCTCCATCTCTGACGTCGCAATCCTTGGCTTCTTCGAAAGTTTTCTCGGTCTTGGCGCAACTTGTTTCTTGAATTACTATTTTAACTTCGAAGTTAAGTCCTGCAACCACCTAAAATTTTGGAAATTTCTGCATTAGTTCGTCTAGAAGATACAAGAGATAAACTTAGCATAGAGTAGAACATACCTGTCTTCTAGCTTTGACAAAATCGATCAATTTATAGTGATAACGGGATCTCAAATGACCATTGACCAGTTCAGCACCGTGTCTGCTCATCTCTTGAGCTTTCTCATCATTTACGTCAACATCCTCCCATTCACCAGTTGCTGCAACATAGCAGAAAACAAATGCGAACACGAACAGGGCCTTCATGCTAAAGTTTAGACTTTAGGAAAGTGTAGAAACAAAGAGTTTAGTACTGAATATATACTCTAAACAACTAACCAATACGATAAACTGTAAGATAAGCATGTGTCTATTCACAGTACAAAAGGTATTATTTTTAGAATATTTGATAAACACTTGTGCTATTTCACATTGCAAAATGGTCTATATTTTATTTCATACGTAATTAAATTACTGTCAGAGTACATAATTTAAAATTACATCTAAATCCTGATAAACGTGCTTAAAATTATTGTGGGTGTGAAAACTTTAGCTTTTAATTGAAAGACCAGAAAGACGAGTTTACTGTTAGGCATTAGCTGAATGTTATTTTTTATGAAGGTCTATGATCCCTTATAATAATACAAACAGCAAATTTGATATGTAAATGAATGGTCAAGTGTAATTTCATATAGATATTTACAGTGGCGTGCCATCATTAAAAGCGGTGGAAGCGCCACTTCCCTCGTATTTTCTAAAAAATAAATATATATTAATTTCAATTATATGAAAATAATCGCACAATATTTTATTATAACCGCATTATGTATCTTATTACAAATTTCTATACTACACGTGAAAAAAAAATAAGATCGCCACTAATATTCGAATATACAATAGCAATCTTATTTTT